AACCAGATGTCAGATAGTACCATTCAGACAGCTCCTCCAGTACAGTTTAACCACCCTTGGCCATGGCTCGGTATTGCTGCCACCATCCAAATGGAAAAACCCCTTTGAAAGCCCAGGAAGTCTGTGATGGGGTAGGCCCCAGTCCGAGAGCGGATTCCCCCTTGGCTCTGGGAACACAATCTCTTTGGCCTGGCCCCAATGTTCAATGCCTCTCCCTCCAGGGTAATACAGCCCACCGGCCTAGTCTCTAAAGTTCTGGGCCCCTCAATCAGGGGAAATACACCCCTCTATCCCAGTCTCTAAAGTCAAGCCTTTTTCCCAGTCATGGAGGCTAGATTACAGGGTGTTTTGGGGAGGTAGGGGGACTCAGGCCCTCCCTCCCCACTGAGTCCCAGTCCAGGGCCCTATTGGCAGCAAAAGTATCTACTATCTGGTCTACAGCTCCTCAGGTCTTTATGAAATGCAGGGCAGCAGTTGCCACCTTCCTGAGGAAGCACATGGTACACGTGTTCCCCTACCTAGATGACTGGCTTGTGCAGGGCCCTGCCTCAGACCAAGTGCTGGCACACATTGCTATGGTGCAAGCTCTTTTCTTGGAACTGGGCCTCCTCCTGAATGTCGTCAAATCTACCCTGGTCCCCAATCAGTTCATAGAATTCATGGGCACCTGCTTGGACTCCACTTTGACCACGACCTCTCTGCCCGGGTCACGCTTCCTAGCTATCAAGGAAGCTATCATGGCCATGAAACAAAATACAGTCACAGCCATATATACCAAAAGATACAATTAAAAAAATACAGGACTATGTAGCACTTTAAAGACTAACAAGATGGTTTATTAGATGATGAGCTTTCGTGGGCCAGACCCACTTCCTCAGATCAAATAGTGGAAGAAAATAGTCACAGCCATATATACCAAAGGATACAATTAAAAAAATGAACACATATGAAATGGACATATCCTTTGGTATATATGGCTGTGACTATTTTCTTCCACTATTTGATCTGAGGAAGTGGGTCTGGCCCACGCAAGCTCATCATCTAATAAACCATCTTGTTAGTCTTTAAAGTGCTACATAGTCCTGTATTTAATGGTCAGATCAAAGGAAGTGGGTCTGGCCCACGAAAACTCATCACCTAATAAACCATCTTGCTAGTCTTTAAAGTGCTACATAGTCCTGTTTTTTGTTTCAGCTACACCAGACTAACACAGCTACATTTCTATCACTATTCATCATGGCCATGTGGGCATTTCCTATGACCATAGCCAGAAACTGCATGCACCTTCTGGGACTCGTTGCAGCTACACATACGTGATTCTGCACGCCAGGCTCCTCATGCGCCCCACTGCAGTTGTGACTGGTGCAGGAATACAATCCTTCCCTCCACCCCTGGGACAGGGTGGTGACAGTTCCCCCAAATGTCCTTCAATTCCTGGACTGGTAGATCCAGGAGGCGGTGGTTTGTGGCAGAGTCCTGTTATCCGGGTCTCTCCCGACCTCGCGGTTGGTGACGGATGCTTCTGACAATGGATGGGGAGCCCATGTCAACTATGTACGGACCCAAGGTAAGTGGACGCAGGAGGAACTCTCCCTGCATATCAATGTCAGGGATCTGCAGGCAGTTTGCCTCGCATGTCAGGCTTTCCTTCCCTGCCTCAGGGGCAGGACAATCCTCATCCTGTCTGACAACACAACAGGCAGGGTGAGGCTTCAGAGCTTCCCTCATTCTCATTGCACCAGCCTGGCCCAGACGGCACTGGTTCACGTCCCTGCTGAGCCTCTCTTGCGAGAGACGGATTGCCCTCATGCTGTATCTGGATGTTATAACACAGTACTTTGGCAGGCTCTGCCAACTGATCCTGCAGTCCCTACACATAATGGCCTGGAACTCCATGGCTGACAACGGCGGAGCTGCAGTGCTCAGAGCGGGTGCAGGAGGACCTGCTGGGGGTACGAAACCTTCCGCTGGGGGTACGAAACCTTCCACTAGGGCTACCTATCTGGCTAAATGGAAGAGTTTCTCTGTCTGGGTTACCCAGAAGAGGATCTCTCCTACGGACACCCAGGTCCTACTGGTCTTGGCCTATCTGCTAGATCTCAGGGTCCAGGAATTGTCCTCTTCATAAATCAGGGTTCATTTGGCAGGGTTCCTTGGAGTAGTCCAGTGTTTCTGCCTTTCACCCAGGCTCCAGGGGCAAAACACTCTTTGCACACCCTGTAGCCCATTGGTTTCTGAATGGGCTGGATAGGCTGTATCCACGTCTGTCAACCTGTCCCTCAGTGGGACCTTAACTTTGCCCTGACCAAGCTCACAGGGCCTCCCTTCAAACCTATGGCAACGCATTTGCTGCTACACCACTCCTGGAAGGTGTCATTCCTTGTGACTATCATGTCAGCCAGATGTGTGTCAGAATTAAGAGCCCTCACCTCAGACCCTCCTTACAGTCTTTTTCAGGGATAAAGTTAGGCTACACCCCCATCCTGCCTTCCTGCTAAAAGTGGTGTCTCAGTTTCAAGCCCCATGCTTCCGGTAAAGAACAGGCTTTACACACTTAGATGTTAGGAGAGCATTGGCATTTTATTTAGACAAGATGAAGCCCTTTCATAAGTCACCTCATTTGTGGCAATTGCGAAGAGGCTCAAGGGTCAGCTGGTCTCCACACAGAGAATTTCTTCATGGATAACCTGCATCAGGGAGTGCGATAATGTGGCTGGAGTTGCAACCCCTCCTCTCACGGCACACTCCACTAGGGCATAGGTCTCCTCTATGGCCTTTGTGGCTCAAGTCCCTATTTTGGACATCTGTAGGGCTGCCACATGATCCTCAATTCACACCTTTGATAACCATTATGCTCCGGCTCACTATGCTAGGGAGGATGTGGCTCTTGGTAAGGTTGTCCTCCGCTTGCTCAGTAGAAGGTTTCTACTGGGGCTTCTGCGTTGGAGTCACCTACATGGAATGGACATGAGCAATCACTCAGAGAAAAAAGGTTACTTACCTTCATAACTATTGCTGAGATGTGTTGCTCATGTCTGGTCTAAATCTGGCCCTCCTCCCCTTCCTTGTAGTAGTCTGGTAAGAAAGAACCAAAGGGGTGGAGGGCCAGTATAGCGGTGCCACTCCAGGGGGCTCCCCTCCTGGGCCAATGGCTAAGGGAAAAAAATTCCGATGACATGTGCATGCATACCTACGTGGAACAGACATGAGCAACACAACCCTCTTGCGCAATACCTTTCTTCCTGAAAAGTAATCTGCGTAACGGCATTGCGCAAGAGGGTTTTTGTTGTGCAAGAAGGGGCAGTGCAGACAGCTCCTTCTGGCACAAGAGCCTCTTCTGCAAAAATAGCGGCTCATTAGGTATGCAAATGAGGCTCAGCAATATTCCACGCTTAGCCTCATTTGCATATTTCTGGGGCAAGAAGCCGCGAGTGTAGACATAGCCCCAGTGAACAGCAAGTGGATGCCGGCCTACTCATTTAAGGCAATGCTTACAGTTAAACTTTCACATCCCTACTCGGAGACCCAATTTTGGGTCCCAACCCAGAGACTTTGTTAATCCCTTCTAAAGGCACTCTCTTCACCTTCAGTCATTTTGCTCTTTTTGCCCAGCCTCCCTCTTGCTATCTGGCTTTTGACCCTGCCTTCCCTCCTCCCCCTGCCTCTCAGCCATTTCTGGTCCTCCCTTCCTCCTCAGGGGATGACCTCTCACCCTACCATGCAGGAGGTGAGGAAGGGTGGAGCAAGTGACTCATTTGTGTGTCATTGACCAGCAGTAGGTGAGCTGGCAGCCAGCCCTTCAATTAGCCACATCCTAGGGCTGGCAACAACTCCCCTCCTCTGGGGCTCTTCTACCTGGGCCTTTCCAGCCCAACCGGAGCCCTGGGCTATGAAGGGGGGAGGAGGCGAGTTTCCCTTGCAACACTACAGCGCAGGATCCCAAACCTCACCACCTTCTGTTCCAAGTGCAAGGTGCCCTTTTTTGACCTGCATTCTCTAGTACAAACACAGAGCTGTGTGTTAGAAAAATAACAACACATATACATAAAATAAAAATGCTATTAAAACAGAACACGTTGCTGCACATGCAGTTGTCCCTTTTGAAGAGATGAGAGAATGAATTCCATGTGACAGATGTGTAGTTGTAGCAAAATGTACCACTGGTAGGTGTTCAGGTATTATGTATATGAAAGCAGTGTAAGAAATTATATAGACTAGACTATAACTCACATGTTTCCCTTGGATCTACAAAATCCTTAAAATAATGAATGAGCCGTGTTCCGAGCTCACAAAATATTGGCTTCATCACATTGTTGTGCTATTTTAGTGATTATTCAGCAAATGTTTTAAAAAACACTTCGGTCAAAAAAGCCACTTTTCATTGAACATCATGATGAAATTTTTTGACCAGTTTAAGTGTCTGCTAATTGCTAACTCAGGGGCACTGCACCTTTTCCACAACATGGCTCCACATTACAGCACCCAAATATTTTAGGAATCTCTTACAACTAGTCAGAAAGAAAGGGATGGTAGTTGCAACTCTGTCCTGACTGTCCCCCACTCCAAACTGAGAACCCATGTTCTAAACTATTTGAGATTTTAGATCTCTGAGGGTACGTCTACACTTGCTCCTTAGTTCAAGCTAGGGATGCAAATGTAGGCGACCAAAATTGCTAATGAAGCATGGATTTAAATACCCTGTGCTTCATTAGCATAATATCGCCGGCATGTTACGGGATAGCTCCCCCAAGGAGAGCGCACAGGGCCTGGTGGGAATCCCCCATGGCGCCTCTGCCCGCCACATGAAGGGCTGCGCCTCGGACACGGACTACGACGTGCCTCTGCCGCTGGGGAGATGCGGCCCGCAGGGCAGGGAGCCGCCGCTGCTTTGGATTGCGCTGGTGGTCCACGGGGGCTGCAACTTCAAGGACAAAGTCACCAACGCGGCCCGGAAGCGGGCGGTGGCCGTGGTGATCTACAATGAGCCCCGCTTCGGCAACGCCACTGTCTCCATGTCCCACCTCGGTGAGTGGGGCCGGTGCCTGGGGTCTCGGGTGGGGCAGTGGGCGGCTTCAGTGGGGTTGTGAGGGGAGTCGGAGTGTGTGTGTGTGTGTGTGTGTGTGTGTGTCTGGGTTCTGCATTTCCCTGGGACATTAGATCTTTTTAGGGGGAAGAGAAAAGGGGAACACCACGAAGCGCCCTAAGGACGTGTCGGGCTTGTTTCCTGTCACTGCATGTAATAGTGACCCGCAGGGGTCTGCTGGACGCACAAAGTTTTACACCAAGCCAGACGGACGCAGAAACGGCCAAGAAATGATGCAGTGAAACCATTAAGCAACTGCCCAAGTTAAAAATAGATGGCCTGTTTTTATTTTATTTAAAGATCTCTCTCTGGTGCTTTCCACAGCAGTATCCGAACACATAATAATATATAATGAATTCATGTGTTGCTCTTTTAAGTACTGGTTGAAACAAAATCGTATTGGAGACTGCAGAGATGTAAAAATGTCGTTTTAATACAGAGAATTGCTTATTGGAGGTGTCTATATTGTAGTACTACTTTAATCTTCAAAGTACACCTTATAATCCTCCTACCTCTCTGAATTAAGTTGAGAATTGTGATGTATAGAGGGATCTAATTGACTTGTTTAAGCATGCCTATCTGTAGCTTGCAGATGGTGTCTGACAATGCCTAAGTAAAAACTCAGGTATTTTGGCTCCACACAGTCTGCTCAGTTTTGTGTGTGTATGAAAGCACTACATGCTTGAGAACTTCAAAACAAAATAAATAAACCCTACCAATTTTTTTTAACTATCATGTACTTTTAAAGGATTGGGAGAAGACCTTCAGGGGAGGATAAGAGTAAGAAATCAAAGCACTGGGGGGGGGAACCTTATTGCAGATATCAGTGAATGTGTCCCTGTATAATATAATCTTACTGCTTACTATCCAGGCATTCTTCAAGGTGATTTTAAATACATTTTAGTTTTTTTTATAAGAAAACACTGCTTTATCTTTATAAAATAAGCTGAAAATGTCAACTTTGGAGTGCCATTTCTTAAAAATATATTTTGAGACCCTGAAAGGAACTACGTCTCTCTTGAAATAAGTGAGTGGCACCATTTGCAAGTTGGAGTCATAATTACCTAGTATTATTTGGCCTGCTTTGTAAGCCTATAACTACACAAGCGCTTTTGTCAGTAAAATTTTGTTTGTCAGAATCATAAAAAACATATCTATGGCTGACAAAAATGCCACTGTGGACAGCATTTTATCAACAGGACATGCTCGCCTGCTAATAATTACTGCTGTTCATTGGGTGGTCTAATTGTCAGAGGAGAGCTCTCTTGCAGTGTAGAGCAGCTACACAGGAGACATTGTAGCAATACAGCTGTGCTGCTGTAAGATTCATAGTGTAAACATACTTTAAGGCTATATCTATACTGTGCATTTTACAGAGATGCAGCTGTGTCGCTTCAGTCACTCCATTATAAGATTCATATGGTGGCTGCTTTCCCAGTGACAAAAGAGCTTTCCCAGTGACAAAATCAAAACCATAGTAGCTTAGTTAGTGTGAGCATGGTTTAGCTGAGGATGAGCTGTCTAAACAGGTGCTTCTGATCATTTAAATGTTTCTGGTTTTGGAGTTTTTTCCACACCTCAGGCGAAAGTGTAGAGAGACATAACCTCTGAGTGTCAGCTTGGATTTTCTGGATTTGATTAATAACTCTCTAACATATCTTAAATTAAGTCTCTTTCTCTCTCCACTGATACTTGATCTGTAGAAGAGAAAAAAATAAAAATACTTCTGTCATGTTCTTCTTGGACTAGACACCTTTATATTATGCCTTGTCATAGTTTTTGCTGTTCTTGGAAATCTTTCCCTGTTTAACTTTCTGCCTTTATTTTTTCTTTCTGTTCTCTTTTTTTTAGTTTTCTGTTTTTTTCTGTTTTACTTCCTCATGCCCTCATCAGAAGGATTCATGTTTCTTAGGCAAGGTTTATACTGTAAACTTTTCATAGAATTATTCATCAGGATATAAAGAGACATGATTCGTGGCCAACATAGCTGTGCTGGCAGAAAGTCCTTAGTGTAGACAGGATACTAGGGATGTTAAATTTAGATTAATGAACTAATCAAATAGTTAATGGGTTTTCCATCTACTGTTCAATTAGTTGATAAGGGCACCTCAGTCTTTGAACTGTAGCAAGAGTCCTTCCGGATTCTTCCTACAATTCAAAAGCAAAAGCCCCGCAGGGAGCACGGAGCCAGCTGGGGACTCTCTTGCTGGCCCCAAGGTCCCTGCAGTGTCTGAGCCATTGAAACGTACAAGAACCCCTGTGGGGCTCTTGTACGTTTCAAAAGCAGAATCACAGCAGAACCTGCATGAGCAGAGACTGCATCAGTCCCCGCTTGTGCTGTTTCTGCTGTGCCTCTACCTACCCTGTCCCTCGTGGAGACTGTGCTGAGGGTGACCAGCTCCTATTCCCCACCCCCTTGCTGAAGGGGGGGAGGGACTAGTTGCATCACTAGTCGACTGTCAATAAGCGTATGCTTATTGGATAGTTGACTAGTCACTTACATCCCTATAGGATACACTGCCAAAATGGCATTTTCACTGGTATAGAAGCAGGTAAAGACAAGGAACAAGACATGTTAAATATACTTTCCTGTTTAAGATTTGCATACCTGTGGTTCTGAGCTATACACATCTAGCTTGAATTGGACTTAGTTTAAACATAGTGTTTGACCAGTTAACTAAGGTTGTTAGATAGCATGTAATTGAATAGTCATGTAACTGCAACAAAATTTAGTAGTTACGTGACTATTCGATAATCCCTAGAGGCAGGGCTGGCAGCCAGTGCACTCTTTGCCACTGTCTCAGGGATCCTCCTGACACCCCATGCTGCGGCCTCTGTATCAGAGGTGGCAGGGTGGCAGGTGGGAGCTGGTCTAAAAATGTGTAGTTGACAGGATTAACCGATAAGCCAAGGCTTATTAGTCAAACATATAGTTGTCTACTTGTTGACATCCCTAGTTTAAATGGTTAACCAGGATTTTACATCCCTACTGTATCTGAAGTGGAATCCAAGCTCCTGTTTTACTCTCTTGGCTTTGTGTTGAGTACTAAACTACACAGAAGATTAATATTAAAGTGCTTAACCAAGGCAGTTAAACAGTGCTGTTAACAAAGCAAGATGTATTAAAGAGAAATCTTCACTGGATTGCAAATACGTAAAACTATTTCACTTTGGTTGTGTGGCTGTACAGATACAATGATTTTTTTTCACTTGTTTCCAGCTTCTAGAGTTGAAGAAATACATTGAATAAATGATTTTGTCTTCTGAAAAAATCTCTTGCCAGAATAGTGTGTGTGTGTGTGTGTGTGTGTGTGTGTGTGTGTAAAAAGTGATCTAAATTTCCTCTTGTAACATGCTGGTAATGTTCTTTGACTTGGTTTAATGGAGGGAATTGTTTCTAATTCTCTTCACTCCCTCCATCCATTAATTACTTGTTTTTATCCTTATAATACCTAGAGTAGTGGGTATTCTGCGACCTGAGGGGGGGGAGGGGGGAGGAGCCAGCTGATATTAAGATCTGAATCTTCTTGAAGGAGAGCATTATTCCATTGGAAGAAGCTCAAGGTTGAAAAACTCTGTAGGTTTTGATGAATATATCTGTATCTTTGAGATGAATTCTTGTTTTCAGTGTTTCTTTATTTCTACTTTAATTTGTATGGTCATCATGGCTGAGACAAATCTTGCTTGTTTGTAAAGTTCCATATACAGAAATTGCAGTGTAAAAATTTATTAACATGAATGAGTGTGCAGTTCTCTTAGTCTTGCCAGAGAACCCTCCTGCTTCCAGTATTACCTTGTCCAAGGACTGCTTCTAAACACCTTAAAAAATACTGGGATCAGAATATGTGGCTGCCTCTTGAGGGATAATGAGGTGCTTTATTGAATCATTACCTTATCATAGTTGAAATCCTATCAAGATGCAGGTTAACTCATTTGAATATGCAGTATGCTATAGCTTAGGAGGGAGCCTTTGTAAGATGACCAACTAACACTGCTTCAAACACAGAAGCCTACATTTTAATGGTTCTTCTCAATTGACATTAACACAATAGCGTGAAACATTTTTACTCTTCAAAATATATCTTCATTGGGAGGCAGTGGTCTTGTATTCCAAACTGCTTATTCAAGGAAGCCCATGGTGTTGATCCCAGTTTGAGTCCTGAAGTCAATGTTTTCATGAATAGGATGAGTTGAAATGATTCTTTTTGACACCCCAGATATTAAGATAACTTCTTGTAGTTCCGTTCATTACTCGGCATGCTTTGCTCCCCCAGTTCTTAGACAGGAAGGAAGTCCTGTGATGAGCCATAATACCTTAAGTGAACAGGGAGATAGGGGATATCCCCTAACTCTTTTCTCCACCCAAGTCTCCTGAAAGTTACAACCGAACATGATTAGCAAGTAACCAGAACATGGTTAGCAAGTAACCTCCTTTTTTTGGTTAGGTACACTTTATTTACTTCTGAAAGATGTTCAGACAAACATCTGACAAAGTTCTGAGGACGTTCTATTTAGAATAAACTGAAATTAAGCTATCGGCAAGTGGATTTTTTTGGGTTGTTTTTCTACACTAAGTCTCATGCATGTCTTCTATTTGTCTGGCCTGTGATAGTGCTCTTTTTTAAAAAAATACTTACAACTTTGAGTAACTTAGATGAAAATAAAAGCTTTTTCAAGTCAAGGGTAGAAATACAGCAAACTCTGACAGATACCATTTAAAAAAACTTGAAATTCCTGTAGGTCACTTTCCAGAATAATATTTGCAATCTAACTTGAGTACTTGGGGTTTGACTTGAGGTTGATGTCTAGTACATGTGGCAAAATAATCAAGTTCTTGTCCTGTTTTCAGGTACTACTAAAGAGTTATGAACTAACAAATGGATGCTCTTGAATGCATTGTAGTGCTTCAAATAGAGACTTCATAGCCTGATAAACTGTATTCATCCTTTTATTTGCTAAATGTATTTTCATATCAGCATCTCATTGTGTCCTACGGAATGTGTCATGTGGGGAATCAGTTGAAACAACATATTTGGTGCCTGTATAAGTTCTTTTTTCTTTTCTCCAATAGGAACGGGAAATACAGTGGTAATTATGGTTGGATATCCAAAAGGGATAGAAATTTTGGAGCCAGTACGCAGAGGGATTCCAGTAAAAATGACCATTGGTGTTGGCACACGACATGTGCAAGAATATATCAGTGGACAATCAGTTGTGTTTGTGGCCATTGCTTTTATCACCATGATGATTATATCACTAGCTTGGCTCATATTTTATTATATCCAACGTTTTTTATACACGGGGTCACAATTTGGAAGCCAGGTAATTGATGATTGATTTTAAAAGTAGAATCTTTTCATTGGTTTAAAGTTTGTTTTTCTCCTATAAAATTGTTTGTCTGGACCTGATAGTAATTTTATTTAAATGTTTAGCACCATATCTTCTAGTCTGAGACAGTCCATGGATACTACTTAGAATGAATACATTTTTAATACTCCGAAGCAGCATAACTAGATTTTTATCTGAAATATCTGCTTGCTACCAGATCGATGTTGAATTTAGAGTTCAGTAACAATTTTAACCAAACTTGAAACACAGCAATGTTTGATTAGTTTTCACTGGCTGAGATGTAATAATTTTAGCTTGGAGGAAGGAAACTGAAACTTAGGATGTTGCTTCTTCCTCCGTTTTCCAATTTTCAGCTAGAATGCTCTGAGTAAAGTTTAATGGAGAGAGTTGATGGGCTAGCCAATAATGCTCTGAAATTAACCCCGTAGTAGCCTATAAACCCTAAAATGTTGTGTTGTAATGTAAACCTTGACGAAAGCTGACCCTGAAGCAGGCAGTTCAGTCCATTGGAGAGCCACAACCTGAAAATGGATTGCCCTGTGATTTACAGAAAATTATCTGTGCAACCAAGCCCAAGTAAGAGCTGAGGAAGGAAAGGAGCATATAATTCATTCCTGTTGCTGCTGCAGCTACTTGTGCCTCTTTACAAACCTTCTGTTTTTCAAGAGCAGTTCCTCTGTGCTCACTCCTCCAAACTAATAGAGATTTGGCCCCAGGATGAGCCAAAAAGGGCTGTGTAATCAAACTTGCATTTATTTAGAAGGTTTAGAACAATACTTCCTGAAGCTGATTACAAGGGAGCGAGTACCCCATCAACACCACCTCAGTACCGATTTTTTTTGAGTGTCACAAAATTGAAGGGAAATGAAACTTGTGGAGGAAAAAGTCTTTTATATCTGTAAAAGATTGAAATGTGAGACCACTTCAGCTACTTTGTGCTCTGCAGATGAAATAAAAAAATAACCGTTAGTTTAGTGGACTATATAAAGTAATGAAATTCAGGAGTTACCCATTTCTAAATCTGCTTTTCCTACTGACATACCTGGCCCGGAGGGAAGGCAATCATTAACCCACTTCCCAATCAGTAAAATGAATATAGTACCTCTATAAGAAGCAGAGTTTTTAGTACAGTGCATTGAAAATGAAGCCATGAGTAAGGATTAGATGTTGACAAAAATGTTACCTGGAACTTACGGTTTCCAGTTCAAAATAAATTGGGTGGTGGTAGGGAATATGTTCATAGCAGTATGTGCAAGTTGCTAGTTGCTGACAAATCATATGCTTAATCTGTTTGTTTTATAAAGCTGGAAAATAATAGTTGGATGGATAGCACAGAATTTAACCCATGTAAAGGAGTGCTCAAAGATTTTGATCTGAAAAATGTTATTTCCCATATGTGGAAATGTGCAGGATCACATTCTTACGCATATTTTACTTAGGGAGTACTATTCAGTCATGCAAGTAGTCCTGTTAAGTAGTATTACTTAAATATTTAAAGCTTACAGGATCAGCCTGAAACTGAGTAGAGACTATCTTTTGGAACACTAGATTGATTCATAGTTTTAAAAAAATGTTTACAGTTGGAAGCATGGTTACTATTCAGTGAAAGAACCTGATAAAATTTATTAGAAAAAGTTAGATTGACCGGTCTGACTTCATTATGTAAATGGTGAATATTCAAGTTCAGTGTACTTAGGGAGAAGAAACACCTAAAGTAGTGTGAATATTTTATGCCCTTAGGCTGCGTTTGGTTCAGTGTGGAACTCCTTTGGGTTTCTGAGTAGGCATGAAGCCTCACCTACATGGATGCAAATGCAGAATAGATCACTGTTAAGAATATTTACTTTAATAAATGTTTAATTATGGAGTGTCCATTGGTGGCCAGCATGCTGGGGGGCGGGGAGGAGGAGCTTGTCTCCCCCAGCCCTACCTTCACCAGTAGCCCATGGCAGTGTCCTCTTAAATTGAAGTCCTTTTCCCAGGCCATTTTTATTACAATAAGGGGCATACTATTGCATTTTCTGTGGAAAAGAACATTTGAGACCCAGACTGATGAGAAGAGCATTTTCCCTTCATCTAAAATCCATCTAGAAAGTCTTTATTTTAATCGTAGTCTTGTATCAATCGGAGCTATTTCAGGTGCGATGACTGCTCCCTCCCCATGCTCTCTTGTTTTACATGCAGTTGTAATTTTTCAGGTGGTATGTATCTGGTTAAATTGATTGGGGGAGTTGTGGAATTGATATGGCTTCTTAAATACTTCGTCAAATGAAATATACATTCTCTGATATTTACTGTCTTACCTCTTGGTAAGGTAACAGGGAGATGATCTCTAGTGTGCGGCAGATACCCAGTTGTGCGTCTACGTTCTTTTTGACTATCTAATATATACCTATACATGTTGCTCATTGGATTAACTATGGTCCTTTTATGCCTCTTTCTTCATAGGCAGCAAGTGGTAAATTGATTCTGTTCTTATTCCCATATCTGCACTCTGACACCACCAAATCTTGTGCATTTCAGCACTGTTATATCAATAGATGATCATGTATTTGCTGTCATTGCTCCATACAGTGAGGAGCTTACTCCTCCTTCATGTGCATTGGTGGGGAGAAGACTTTGTAAACTTACTACACTTAACCTCCTCACTCTGTCCCTAATTTGGGAACACCTGTCACAGAGGAGGAAATTCAGAGGAGATTCCGAAAAGAGCAACAAAAATTATTAGGGGATTGGAACGGGTCCCATATGAAGAGATATTGAAAAGTCCAAGTCTTTTTAAGCTTAGCAAAGAGATTAAGGGGGGAGGGGTTGATAGAGAGCTATAAAATCATGACTGGTGTGGAAAAAATGAATAATGAAAAGTTATTTATTTGTTCCCATAATATAAGAACTAGGGGTCATCAACTGAAATTAATAGGTAGCAGGTTTAAAACAAAAGGAAGTTTTTCTTCACTCAGTATATAGTCAGCCTATGGAACTCCTTGCCAGAGGATGATGTGAAGACTAGGACTTGAACAGGGTTCAAAAAAGAGCTAGATAGATTCATGGAGGTTAGGTCCATCAATAGGTATTAGCCAGGGTGGGTAGGAATGGTCCCCCTAGCATCTGTCTGTTTAGAAATGGATGACAGGAGAGGGATCATATGATGATGTGTTGTGTTCCCTCACTCTGGGGCATCTGGTATTGGCCACTGTTGCTAGGATACTGGGCTAGATGGACCTTTGGTCTGAGCCGGTATGTTCTTACAAGAGGCTTTCCTACTTCCATTTCCTCCTCTGAGGAGGGGAGGGGCAGTGCCTGGGAGCATGGACTGGCAGGAGGATGGTGGTTGGGAGCAGCAGGGGTATGGAGTGAGAGGAGCAGTGTCCTACCTGCCATCCTTTCCCTCACCTGGCAAAACCTTTAATCAGTCAGAAATCTTTAATCTGTCATACCCTATTTCTCAGGGTTGCAGGATTAAAGAGGGTCAAGTATATAGTGACAAAATGTGGGAATTTCCTGAGTATATTTGGAGTGCTTACTAAACTATACAGAATACTCTAGTAATTAATTATTTGGTACACTTTCACTTAATTGAACCTGGGTAACGTGACTTTAAACATTTTCATCACTTTAAGGGCCACAGAAAGGAAACCAAGAAAGTGATCAATCAGCTTCAGTTGCATACTGTGAAGCATGTAGACAAGGTAAGTTAATAACTTGTTTGTGTTTGGTTAGTATGATCTTTGTAAACTCTTCATTTGATTAATGGTATTAAAAATAAAATGGCCATCTCTCCTTGGTCTGTCCATAAATTAGTGTGAGTTCTGTTTAACCCTTTTTTCTCTCTTTAGAAAGCAAACTGAAAAATAAAGTTCTCATTACTACCTCAAAAGGAAAGGCAATCTATACTTTAGGGCATGTCTTCATTTGCCGTGCTGGAGATTGACGTTCTGGCATTCGATTTATGGGTCTATTATAAACCAGTAAGTCAAATGCGGAGGGCAGCTCTGGCTGGCGTCTATACACCTCACTGTTGCGAGGAGTAAGGGAAGCTGACGGGAGTGTTTGCTCCCATTGGCTCTCTGCAGTGGGGATGGTGCCAAGCTCTGCTTAAGATAAGATGACTCTAGCTAAGTATTCTACATAGCTGAAGTTGCTTACCTTAAGCTGACCTTCCAGGTCCAGTGTTGACCTGACTTGAGTTCTTGTACAGCTTGATACTACTCCAAAGACCAAAAGAGAGAGGGTTTCTTTTTTCTCTCAATTACTGTATGTAGAATAGTATCTTTATAATAAAGTGATTGTACTGGGGGACATGAATGCCAGTACAGTGAAGTCCGGATTAACCGACACCCGGTAATCCAACACTCGGCTTTATCCGATCCTGCAGCTCCCGGGAGCTGCAGGGTCAGATACAGCGCAGGCCAGGAGAACGGCCCCGCTTGCTGCTCCTGCCTGAAAGTGTCCCGGCAGCAGCAGCAGCTCAAGGGAACAGCTGATGCCACTCTTGCGGGGGACGTCACTGGCAGGAACGGCATCAGCTGTTCCGTTGCTCTCTACAGTATAATCCGTATCATCCGACATATTTGGTAATCTGACCATGTGTCAGTCCCGTTTAGGTCGGATGATAGGGACTCTACTGTATTTAACATCTAACAGATATATTTACTAGCACAGGATCTTGATTAGCATCAAATACCATCATTGCAGTTGAATAGTGCAATATTTCCTATTATCTGTTGATTACACAATTCCATATATTACAAGTCTGTTAGTCTTGGTAACATATTTTCTTATTATTTTAGAATAAGAAGAAAAACATAAAAATGTCTTTAAAGACTGTCTCATTACCAAAGCTTTTTACATATTTCTAGTAATTCCTTCATGGACAAAGAGAGAGCTTATTTGCAATGCACATATTAACAAAGCTTGATAGGTCTTCACTTGACCTGACATCGAGAGTCCAGAACTTGCTATATCTCAGGTGAACTTCCTTGGTGAGACTATGGACAGATTATTTACCAAACTAGGTTAAATTTAGCTTACTGGGGCAGGTGTACTACTGTGAAATTATGTAGAAGCAGTGTCTAATATTTGACAGATGTATATTTTGTTTTCCTTTGGCTTAGTCATCACAATCACAGCAGTTTCCGTTTTATACTTTACTGTAAAAATAATGTAAGGCTTTAAATGTTGCTATTAAAAGCCTGACAAAACATTGAAGCACTTGAAAAACAGGTCAGCCGTAAGCATGTTGTGTCAATCTTTTCTGAGTGTGGGGGGTGGTATAAAATGGACTTGATTGGCTACATATGGCATGGTTGGCATTGGCCTCTGCATTCAGTGGAAAATATCTGCAGCAGTAAATATAAAATCAACTTAATGTTAAACATACAGACTGGCAACTAATACTGAAATGTTTTGAGTAACTGTTTATTTAAAATCAATACATACACTGTATATAATGGAAATTATGGGACTGATCTTCCAATCTTACTAACATTACTAATTAAGTAATGTTTGCAGTTATGGGCACCCATACTTCAGTAACCTGCAAGTATATACTGCAAATACTTGCACTGTATCTTTATACTAGGGCCCTGCTATTCTGATATCCTTCATGTATTTGCTCTTGTATAAACCCAGTTAAAATTGATTTGTAGTACAAAGTATCTTCATACTTAAATATTTTATATTGCAGTGGTAACTGTGAAAGGAGCAAAACATGTCAGAATACATAGGACTCTTCCCAAAAGTGTTAATGGTATAAGTAATTGCGCACACTACTCTAACTACAATGCAGTGGTTCTCAACATATGGCCCAGGTAGCACACAGCGGTAGCCATGTGACCTCTTCAGTCTGTATGTCTGTATAGACACACGCATTGTGTGAATGCGGCCCATGTAACAGAGAGCTGCAGATGTGGTCCCTTACGATAAATTGGTTGAGAACCATTGATCTGTAGTTTTAAGGTCTATCAAACATTGAGTATACTCTTTTCTTAGGGCTGAATGAGAGAGAAGTTAGAGAGGGATTTTAAGAATTTTTCTAAATTGATTCATTTGGCATTTGTGTGGATTCTTTCCTCTCCAGTCCTTACATTTCTTGTGTAAACTTGTTTACCAAGGCACTATAGGAGTGGAAGGCTGAAAAAGCAGGATGAGGCAGTTTTCATTAGCTCTTGAGACTGGGAGTTAAATGGGTTTCTGTTACCATATCTTTCATAGTTATGTGAAATGTTATACATCTAGAGATGATTGCTTTTATTTGTTTTTTAGTTTTACTAAAATGTTTGATTGCAGCTCATTAAAATACCAGGGTTTAGATAAGTTAGCCATTGGAAAATATACATGGCTTGCCATGAGAGATTTAAAGTCAGTGCCTTAGGTTTTAATTCTATCAAACTACTTTTTGCTAGAACAGCTTCTTGTTTGACATTTTAAAGCATTCTGTTCAAATGATCATGCCACATGATTCATAATGCTCTACTTGTACATTTAAATTTGTTTTTGTTAGGGTTTAGATGTTGATGCAGAAAACTGTGCTGTGTGTATTGAAAACTATAAACCGAAAGACATTGTCCGGATTCTGCCATGCAAGTAAGTTTGCCTTTCTAAATCTTATGTTACCAGGCTTTCCGTAAGAAATATTTTAAAAGGGTTTTCTGGAAACCTAAGCCATTTCTGGAGCATTGGGGTCATACAGTTATACAATACACTGAAGTTGGGCCGTTTGTTTGGCCCATAACATGTGCAAGGGCATGTTAAGGAAGATATATTGTGTGTGGAGGGAGTTCAGCCTCTCAAATGTTGCAGACTTGTTGTACTTAAATATTACATTTATGATCTTTAATGACTGTTGCTAGTTTTGCGGGACACTTTTTAGAGTCAAACATTTCTCTTCAGATACAGAAAATGAGATGTTTAAATAGAAATGACAGTAATTTTGAACAATTCTCAGTAAAATTTGTAAACTAATATTTCCACTTCTGTTTGGGTATTAATCAGTTAGGAGTAAGGACTGATTCCTTAAAGAAAGTCACTACCTAAATCACTTAAAAAAAAGTCAGTACCTAAATATTCTGTCAGTATACTTGTCCATTGCTTTCCAACTCTGAGGTAGTTTAATATATTGAATAACTACTAAGATTTAACAGATTCACTTATGAATATGTATAATAACTTCAAGATAGACGACATAAAAATGGAATAAGCTTTCTGAAAGAAAAATCAGTTTAAAAACATCGACACCAAGTATACTTCATTTTTCTTCAGGCATATCTTTCATAGGACGTGCATTGACCCCTGGTTGTTGGACCACAGAACTTGTCCAATGTGTAAACTAGATGTCATAAAAGCTCTGGGATATTGGGTAAGTTACATATTTTATTCAGTTAAAACTATGCTGCAGACATTCAAAACAGGAAGTAATACTGCACCTCAACCTGTTACAAATTCAGCAGTTCCTGATTAAGTGCCATGTTCTTCAGATTATCTCCTGAATAGATACTATGGCAACTGTGGTGGTTAAATAAATAAGAAAAAAAAATCTGTGCTGAATATTATACATCCTTAATATTACACCTAATGAAATGAGAACTAACCTATTCTTAATACTTTTCAAAGATAGGAAATGTTTCTTGTTTTGAATGCTCGTATGTGACCTTTACACTGTAGGGATGTGTGTGCACCAGTGTTGGAGTTCTCCCTAGAGAGATCCACAAAAACAGACCTGTCTAAGCCTGGCTGCCTTGTTCTTTGAAGCAAGGGTATAAAAGGGCAGAGCCAACCCACTCTTCAGTTCCTTCTTACTGTCAATGATCTTCAGTGCTCTGTTTCAATCTAGTGGTACTCTTGTTTTCATCATATGATGCTTAATTTTCCATTTTATTTCAAATTTTGTTTTGGCTATACAGGCAGTCCCCGACTTATGCGGATCCGACTTACGTCGGATCCGCACTTACGAATGGGGCTTTCTCGCCCCGGAGGTCGGGGCGAGAAAGCCCCGTTCGTAAGCTGCTCCGGTGCCCCTGGTCTACTGGAGACCGTCTCCAGCAGACCAGGAGCACCGGGCAGGTTCCCGCGCTTCTGAGGCTTTGCCAGAGCAAAGCCTCAGAGGCGTGGGGAACCGCCGCTGCTGCCGCTTCAGTCTGGGTGCCTGTGGTCTGCTAGGAACCGTCCCCAGCAGACCACAGGCACCGGGACTGAAGCCGCAGCCGCGGCGGGGTCCCGCGCCTCTGAGGCTCTGCTCCCCGTGTCCCTGGTCTGCTGGGGGCGGGGGCGGAGTTAGTGTGCTCCCCCTCCCCCCCAGCAGACCAGGCTTTTGTTTTGGACTCTGGGGCAGAGCAGCTGGGGTGCTCCCGGGTTGGTCCAGTAGTGCCCAGAGCGGCGCTGCAGGACCAATCGGCAGCACCCCAGCTGCTCTGCCCTAGGCGTCCCAAGTCAGCTTCTGCTGAAACTGACCAGCGCTGACTACAGGAAGCCCCAGGCAGAGTTGCTCTGCCCCGGGCTTCCTGGAATCAGCTGCTGATCAGTTTCAGCAGCAGCTGAATCAGGATGCCAGGGGCAGAGCAGATGGGGTGCTGCTGGGTTGGTCCAGTAGCGCCGAGGAGCGGCGCTACTGGAGCACCCCAGCAGCACCCCAGCTGCTCTGCCCCAGGTCCTGATTCAGCCGCTGCTGGTCAGTTTCAGCAGCAGCTGACTTGGGGACGCCTGGGGTTCTTAAGTTGATTCTGTATGTAAGTCAGAACTGGCGGTCAGTTTCAGCAGTGTCTGAATCTGGACGCCAGTTCCGACTTACATACAGATTCAACTTAAGAACAAACCTACAGTCCCTATCTTGTACGTAACCTGGGGACTGCCTGTATTGCAATGTTATCCTGTCAGAAGTGTAGTGCCCCTTGAAGATTTGACAGGGCACATGCCGATTACGAACATTTGTAGGGTGGCAGTGTGGCCTTCAGACCTTCACCAACATTGTGCACAATCTGATGCTTCAAGTAAGGATGCAAATGTGGGATAAGTGGTCATATAGTTTCCCTTTCTAATGAGACTGAGCCCCACTGCCTGGAATAACAGCTTCACTGTTGCCTACAGTGTAATAGACATATATATCCAAGCACCAATGGTCTCTAATACTGAATTGCTAAGATGTTTAAAGTGATGGGCATCCTGGAAATACCTTATTTGTCTTGGGGATAATGTGACCTCACAAAAGTTTGCTGTGGAGGGAAATGACTATTGTTTCTAAATTACGAAATGGGCAGGACAGCTAAGTTGTATTGTCTCTTGCACATGTGTAGTAAACTATGAAGTTGTGTTGATTGACTGAGTTTTTTAATATCAGTTGAATTTTAAAATAAAACTTTGTAGATACACTTTTCTCACATTCTAGGTTTTGGTAATGATGCATCTAGTTGATATTGCTGAATATTTTCCATCCAGACCTTCATTTTCAGTTGCTTATAATTTTCAGACATAACTATTGGGGCTGAAATTTTCCATGACAGATGATTGCTTCAGAAAGCTAATTTCTGAGAGAGTGATCGGGGAAAATGTATTCTGCTCCGATAAAATTTTAATAATTATTTTACTGAGATTTTATCATCATCCTAGTTTGAAGCAGGGACTTGAAGTTTGGCCGAGAGGTTGCTTTGGTGTTAGAGGTACTCCTTTTGCTGTTTTCCAAAAATCACCCAAATTTGCCCAAGTTACAAGTGCTTGAAAAACTGCAGTTGCCCATGGTAAGTGGTTTGGTAGCAGACAGCCAGAGATCTCGTATATAATTGCCATGTTGCATCTTTCACAGCTCCTAGTATGAACCAGATGGGGGGGTGACCATACTCACAGTTGGATTTAGCATGTTCCATTCTAGGGCTACTGGGTCTGAACAGGAGTCTATAATCAGTTGCTTTACTAGTTATTGGGGGCCACTCTAGTGCCAGACAACAGAACTGATCAGGGAAACAATCTCTTGTGCTTTCAGTGTTTTTGCTGTGTCCAAATAGCATGGATGAGTAGGAAGCAGTCTGACTTGATTAGAAAGAGGGGGAATAGAAGATCAGGGTTGATGGGAACTGAGGATGGTGGGCAAAGACAAGAGTGGGAGGTACAGATTGATGCAGAGGAAGATTGGAACAGGTTGGGAGGGATCTGTCAAAATTGTGACCACTATAGTATGCTCCCTCCCAGAACCTGAAATTGAACTAAAGTTTCCAAAGTCTCAATTCCTATGTGTGTAGCAAATAGCTGTGAATGCCACCAGCATCTTTCTCACCAATGTCTGCAACACACAGAGGGTAATGGCCTACCACTATGACCAGTTTTGTTAGCTTAAGTGCTAGAGGTCTCTTGTAGATCTAAAATTCCCAGTTCTGATGTGAGGGTCTGTATGATTCCATGTGGCAGAATTTGTGAGTTCAGTTTGCTTTTTAAAATCTTAAGGAATTACCACCAGCAAACTACATTAAGATAATTTTACGTTTGCACAGTTCAGTGCTCAGAAGTTCGGAAATGTCAGAATAAAAGGGACTCCTGCAATCTTATTTCACCTCCTCGTTGTGTATGTATTATGATAAATCTTTAATGACATAAGTGTCATCTTTTCCTCTCAGGATGGACAGCAGTCACAGGTTGGGTAGTAAGGGAGGATATGTAGGTCTCCTGCCTCATGAATAAGGCAGGAATTTACACGAAAATAGAAGATGGCTTTGTAGCTAAGGCAGTTGAATGCCATCCTAGTAAACTGGATTTTATCCCTAATCTGCAATGGAGTTCTTGTATGATAGAACTCACATAAACCAAACTCTTGATTAAATAATACCTTCCATTTCTCTTAAGTGCTGCAAAGACATTGTAGTATGTCCTTGTCTCCTGGATCAGGAACTAATGGCCAAGATACTTTTGGGCTTGGTAACACAGTACACTAATGGATCTGTGTGGTCCAGGAAAGCTTTTTCTAAATTCTTACGATAAAGCAAGATTTGTGCAGTAATTTACAAAATTGAAAACAAGATCACAGATGATGAGGAGAGGAGCCTGTGTAAGACTCAAGAATGACTTGCAGAAGGCAGGCTGAAAAATATTTTATAAAACTCTTGTATTAGGAAGGGCAAATAATTTTCCTTCAGTAAATTAAATATTTAAAGCTTTCCTTTTGAGGAATCATTAGAAACTTTTCTCATGTCTAAATAATTGCTTACTGAATACTTTGTCTACTTCTGAAGGGTGACCCTGAAGATGCACTTGAAGTTCCAATACCTGAATCAATAAGTGGCAGTGTATCAGTAGGAAGTTTGAGTATTGCTTTACAAGAAGATGATAGAAATGAAGTAAGCGATTTGTCAGCCTCTTCAACCAATGAATCTGTGTTACAATGTAACAGTTTAAAGGAGGATGCAGGTGAAACCACAGCATTACTTGGTGAGTACAATGTAAGGTGTTTCAAATCAATGTATAATCTACATACGAAAACTAAAAGGTAACCCAGCATTGCTTGGTCCTTAACTCAAATAAGTCATAGTTTAACCCATACTCCAATCAGTACAACTTTCCCAGCACGCTCCACTTACAATCCCCACTTACCCACCTTCACTCATACGTACCATAAAACCAGATGTTCACTACTCATTGAGATAATTATTCAGTTTGATTAATTGGAATTTTAGAAAATGAAAACTCTTTATTCCTGAGTTGATCTCAGAACTCTCAACATTTCTTGTTGGTGATGGATGGCTTTAGTAAGTAGTACCAGTAAGTAGTGTCGCCTGAAAGACTGGGAATATTTAGAGTGAAAGTTCTTTATTCGTCAAGTGATTGCTCATATCCATTCCCTGTAGGTGTGCGTGCGCAGTGTGCACGCATTGTTGGAATTTTTTCCCTTAGCAGTACCCATTGGGCTACAGGGGAGCCCCCAGGAGTGGCGCTGCTATGCTGGTCCTCAACGCCCTGGATTCCTTCTTACAACCTGTGATGGTCGTTGGAATGTGCTCTTGCTTAGCAAGCACGTTTAGCAGTTACTCAGTTCTAAAGTTCTTTGTTCTAGTTTCAACAGTTACGGTTCTTTTCAGTTCTTTAAGTAGTTAAGTGGTGTTTTCTAGCGCTAAGGACCCACTGTGGTTCTTGTTCTGGGCATGTGGCAGAATATGTCTGACCTCAGGGCTTCAAATCCTGTGAGAAGTGCCAGAGGCCTTTGCCCTGTGGTGACCTGTACTCTGGCTGCCTTAAGTGCCTGGGCAAGGCTCACTTGTCTGAGGCCTGTACAATTTGCAAGGTGTTTAAACCAAGTACGAAGCGGGGGGGGAGAGTTACACCTGAAAATCATTTTAATGGAGGCAGCTTTACGACCAGCAACACAGAGTGCACCAGCCTGGGTGCGGGAGGTGTCAGCCCATTTGCATGCCTCCCCAACACCGCGCAGACATTGGCACCGTTCTCAGTCCCCGGTGCCTCAGAAGAAGAGGAGATCTGGTAGGGGCAGGTCACTCCCATGGCGTGTGCCCTCTGTGCGCCCTCAAGTGGGGCACGTGGCACCATCTGGCGCCGAGCCTGGACCATCTTGGTCAGGCAAGCAACTAAGTCCGCACTGGGATGTCAGCCCAATGAGGGACTTCCCAGAGCCCTCGACTCTGGAGGGTTTTGAGGCAGCCAGGGATCTGATTGGACTGTCATTCTTCCCTCCCTCCCTCCCCCTGCCACTGACTGCAGGCAAGGATTTGGTGCCACCGGAAGTCCCATCAGAGGTTAAGGCACCCAGCGCCCTGGCACAGGATCCAAAGAAACACAGCTCCGCTCTGGTCCCCATACAAGCTGGACTGGCTCAGTGTGGCACCGCCTACAGGGCCAGCATGGGTGGCAACCTCAACCCTGGCCCACGCCTCCACACCGGACCCAGCACCAGGACTAGGGCCTTGACCGGCACCATGTGTGGCACCAGCCATTGCAACCACCGGCCCCGCTCAAGGTTTACCTGGCCCGGCCATGCCCCCATCTCCTCCTGCTCGTCGGCACTGGGGCAAGCCGGAGTAGATGGCTCGGCACGCACCATCAGCCAGATTACCAGCTGCGTCTGCCTCTGCCCCACCCTGGTCGGCCTCTGAGTATTCAACCGACTCAAAGGCGGAGTCCACGTGATCGTCCAGGGGGTCCAGGTCCAGTTGAGGCACCGGTCAGTCTCCCACTGGTCACAGCAGCGGAGTACCTCTGCTCATCAGCAACAGCATCAATGGGCACAGCCAGTCCTGGTAACAGTGATGCAGCAGTCTTGGCCATCACAGGCTCCAGGACCATCTCAGTGGCCATTTTGGACCCCATGGGCCTACCACCAGAGTCGGCATGGGCCCCTCTAGACCAGAGTCAGTCTTCTCTGGGGCTAGGGTACCTCCTTCGGCAACCCCACTGACTTGGTCGCCTACGTCGGGGCAGTCACTTCCGCCAGGCCAAATCTCCCCACGGCCCTTGGAGATGGAGGGGCCTGGTGTTCCAGCCACCCACAGTGCCTTCACAGGTGGCCTCTCAGGTCCTCTCGCAGGCCACAGTCCCTGTGGAGACTGGGCCAAAGGAGTCATTGTCTTTCTCCCCCAACAAGGCCTTGGGCGACACGGTCCCCTCAATGGACTCAAGGGCACATCAGGACCTACTCCACCGCCTGGCCCAGAGCTGGGGGTCCAGGCTGAGAGGGTGTAAGAGGACTACAACCCTACCATCGACATCTTGTGTCTGACACCCTACCGAAGTGGCCCTCCCCATCAACAAAACAGTGGCCAAAAGACCCTCTGGAAAACTCTGGCCTTTATCTCCCTGATGGACAAGGGCTGATCGAAGGTACTTTGTCCTAGGAGGGGAACTAATACTACTTCTCCCATATGTCTCCAGGATCTCTGGTCGTCCAAGTGGTGAACCAAAGGGCAAGGCAGGGCCCGCTGGGAGCTACCCCCAAAAATAGGGATGCCAAGAAAATGGACCAGTTAGGCAGGAAGGCCTAAGCATCCAGAGGCCTCCCGTTTTGCATAGCCTGTCTTGCTATGCCTGTAACACGTGGGCCTCTGTGGATAAGTTTACCGAGCTTCTCCCCAGGAACTCTTGGCCTGAATTTAGAGCCCTCTCAGAGGAGGGCAGGGCGATTTCTAGAGCAGCGCTTCAGGCTGCCCTCTGTGGTTGCATGGGCCATGGCCACGGGGCTGGTTCTATGCTGCAGCTCCTGGTTGCAGGGATCCAGAGTGCATAATTACATAACACCATAACCTCTCCTTTGAGGGCCCATCCTTATTCTCTGAGCAGACATACCAACGTCTGCATGGCCTCAAAGATACCCAGGCCACCTTAAAGTCCTTGGGTATTCACACCCTGGTTACCCAAACGGCACTCCTTCCCAGGCAGGAAGGCCCCTAGGTCTTCTCAGCAGGGCACGCATCCTGACTTTTGTCGCCAAAACAGGAACAGCAATGAGAAGAACAGCAGATGTCATTCCCAGCCGGCCTACGATCAGAATGGCCCTGGATCAGTCAGGGTCCGCTTAATAAGTCCTCATGGCCCTGTCAAGAATTTTCCTCCTGTGGGAGGAGGTGCTTCAGCTCCTCACCCTGGGGGCTGCAGGGGCAGTTCCCCTGGGGTATTGCGCAGTGGCTTCTATTCCCAGTATTTTCTGGTCCTCAAAGCCAAGGGTGGGTTTCGACCCGTCTTGGACCTCGGGATCTTAATGCCTTCATTGTCAAGACCAAATTCAAGATGGGAATTTTGGCATCCATCATTCCCTCCCAAGCCTCCGGAGACTAGAACACTGCCCTCGATCTAAAAGATGCATATTTTCATATTTCTATTGTGCCCCACCACTGTCAGTTCTTCTGCTTTACAGTGGGCAGGGATCACTATCAGTTTACAGTCCTTCCCTTTGGGCTTTCCACAGCCCCCTGGGTCTTCACAAAATGCATGGCCGTCATTGCCGCTGCTCTGAGAAGACAAGGAGTCCAGGTGTTCCCATATCTGGATGACTGGCTCTTACGGGAGTGCTCTACCAACCAGCTACGGGCCCACATCACCTTGGCTCAAACTTTTGGAAGTTGGGACTGCTCCTGAATGTGCCCAAATCGACCCTGGTGCCTACCCCAGTGATAGTTTGTGGGCACCGAGCTGGACTCGACAATGGCCAAGGCCTCCCTCCCCAGATCCCACTTCCTGGTAATCAGGTCGGTCTTCGGGACATGCAGGCTTCTCAATAACCATGGCCACCTTCTGGGCCTACTGGCCGCATGCACCTACGTCATCCAGCATGCCAGGCTCCGCATGCGCCCACTGCAGATGTGGCTGGCATGGACTCTTAACCTGTCCTTTCACACGTGGGACAGAGTAGTGACAGTCCCCTCCGATGCCCTTCGCTCCCTGCACTAGTGGACCCTGAAGGAGAAGGTCTGTGCCAGAGTCCTGTTCTCTAGGCTTCTGCCAATCCTGCGGCTCGTGACAAATGTCGGACACTGGTTGGCGGATCCCAACTTGGAGACATGCAGATGCAAGGTATGTGGTCGAGGGATGATCTCACCCTTCACATCAATGTCAGGGAACTGCGAGCAGTCTGCCTCACCTGTGTGGCCTTTCTCCCCAGGCTCAGGGGCAAGTCACTCCTCATCATGTCTGACAACACATCGGTGGTCTCCTACATCAATGGGCAGGGCAGGGCCCACTTTCCTCACCTGTGTCTGAGGGGGGCGGAGGGAGGGAAGGAACATTCACCTGTGAGATGTCTGCCCTGATGCAGAGATCCATCTGATTGCCTCCTATCTTCTGGATTCCCAGAACACTCTTGTGGACTGGCTGAGCAGGTCTTTCTCCGGCTACGAGTGGGCTCTCGGGGGGATGTAGTCGTGGGCATCTTCTGCAGGTGGAGGGTTTCCCTGTTTGGACCTATTCGCCATGTGCCAGAACAGGAAGTGCTCGAGGTTCTGTTGTCTCATGGGTCTGGAAAGGGGCTCTCTGGGAGTTGCTTTACTTGTTCCTTGGCCCAGGGGTCTACTTTACACGTTCCCACTGATCCACCAAGTGCTCCTGCGGGTGTGGGAATTCAGGGTGTCCCTGATTTCTCATCGCATCCGCATGGCCCAGGCAGCACTAGTTCTTGACCCTCCTGAACCTATCATGCGAGAGGCTGGTTGTACTCCTGCTAGTCCCCAACCTGATCATGCAGGACTTTGGCAGGCTTTGCCACCCAGACCTGCAGTTTTCCGTACCTCTGTGGCTGATCGTGGCGGATCTTCAATGTTCAGCTCATGTACAGGTGGTATTGTTGGGGAGCAGGAAACCTTCCACTAGGGCTACTTATGTGGCTCAATGGAAGCTATTCTATATCTGGCCTACTCAGAGGGGAGTGTCTCCTGTGGATGCCCCAATCCCCGTGGTCCTGGACTACCCTCTGGAGCTTAGGATACAGGGGA